AGGGGGAAAAAAAAAGGAGAGAGATTGCATAATGAGTGCATTGTTTAGTTCTTTACTATTCTTACGTGCTCCATCATGAAGAATCTTATCTACTTGATTAATAACTTTCTCCATCTTTTAGTTACATATAAAATGTCTAAATATGATGGATTATACTATGAACATGTTATGAATGATGGCACGATAAGTGGTAATACAGTCTCATATAAATTACCGAGAGACTTCATTGAATATCCTGCGTCAAAGCTCTTGAGATAAGAAAGATAAGTCTTGAGCATCCAGACTTTGAGTTCTCTTGCTATTCCATTAGAATGACAGATTCATCAAATCAGTGAAAAAAGGTTTGACATGAGATATTACATAAAACCCAACATGACTAACAGGAGTTGAATGAAGGTCTTATGGAAAAAATGACTGAGGCAAGTAGAGAATTTGTTGATTGTTACTATGATTCAAATGAAAATAAATTGGAATTGAATGTATTTAAACGAAAAGGTACATCCAATTCATAACATTACTTCATACAGTAGTATAGAAAAAAAATGCCTTGAATTATAAATATGACATGTCCCTAGGAGATGTGTTGGATTTCTTCACTGGTTTATTAGAAACACTGAAAAACAGACACAACATCAAGAAAACCAGAGCTTGTTTTGGGAGATGACCATTGGTAGAAACATTCACGCAAAAAGTAATTCCATCGAAGCAAGAATTTTTAGACTTATGGGCAAAAAATTATTTATTCTCGCGAAATGCATATTATTATTTATAGTTTTTACCATTCAGCAGATTTCACTGACGAAAATTGATAAAGAATAAAAGAAAACATATAAGTACTTTGATGAGCTTTTTTCATAACTATAAGCGCATATCAGAGTTTATCCTTGAGCTCGAAAGGGTGCAAACCAACATATAAATTTGTCCGGTAGCTAATGATCAGATAAGAGTAAATCCGTCTCTTGAGCTAGTAACGTTGAGTAATATTTGCTCATGCATTAACAAACAATTTATATGCTTAATGTGAATGAACAGCTTGTGCCACCAAAATTTTACGATATCATGGTTATAAGATGCACTCGTTCGGTTTTTGAGTTTATAAGGCGCCTTTTTCATTCAAAGATGTTGAAGATCAACCTGATGGTTGTCAAAAAAAGGGAATATTATGCTATAAAGAACTTCATTATGAAAATTCCTTAAAGACTCTAATATAATGGGCGTTGAACTTATATATAGAGTCTTGGTACATCAATTCTCAACATAAATAGTTTTACCGCTGACAGAATTTTTTTGGACTACGTAAAGTTACATTTTAGTGGAAGCGCAACAACAAAGCTCCTGCTACGTGAATAAAGGTTAGTTTACATATTGAACGTTTATTTTTACAATATTATGCGTACATATGCGCGCCGCGTATGGTGTCAGTTTTCTGTCACTTCTTTTCATTTTGTGATCGGTGACTGTATGCTGTAGGCTAACAGGCGCGCACAATGTAACTGTACTATTAAATTGTTTTTATTTTCATGCAATTCTTCTTGCGGACCAAAGATTTGATGATCCAATAAAATATTTAAAATCAACAAATAATTGTTATATTTAAATGAAGAAGTAATTTAAAACGATTATTATTTGATGACTCAAATCTTTATCATATTTTTTGGATAAAATCCATTTTAATAGAATTTATACTATTTCATTCTATTCAGTAACACTAGCCGTAATTATTTTTTTAAGCTTATTCTTATGTTTTTGAACTTTTATTTCAAATCTTTTGCCGCTCGCTAAGGAAGAATTGCATGCTAAATAACAAAACATTTAATCAAAGTCAATTTTATTTTTTCACTATTCAAATGACCTGAAGTTGTTAACATTTTAACCATTTTTTTTGGCTAATTGTCGTCAAAAATTAGGCGTAAATGCAAAGAAATTGAGTTTTCTATTTATGCGTTTTATTACTAGAGACAGCTATTATTTATTGCCCCACTTCATTATATTCGTAAATTTTGATGGTTTATCCTTCGCTTTAGATCATTGAATTTGATTTTTTATATAAATAGTTATATAATTAGAAAATAATATGAGTTTATTGTGATATTATTTTTTCAGAAGGATTTTATTTCTATATGCCTATGAAAAGTCTCTCAAAAATACTAACTTTTTTCCTAATTCACTCATTAAATCTAGAATATTGTATTATGCTTAGTATCTATTTCATTTTTTCTCATTCAATTTTAGGAATTTTACAAATCGTCTCAAAAAATTGTAGAGCTGTCACTTTTTGATGAATTTCTGTTTTATTACACTTACGCACTTTTTCAATAAATTTTATTCGTTTTATTTTGAATACTTCACCCCAAATTGGAAAAGTGAAATAGAACTGTATTCTTTTGATCTTCAAAATTTTGGAATCCGATTTTACATATTCGATCCATAAAATTTTGCAATTGAAAAAAGAATTTTATTTTCATAAACTCTTTAATTCAAATTAATTGACACTTTTTTACAATGGGTGTTTTATGAATATTATTGTTGAAGACAATGAATATTAAATAGCAATTTTCAAAAATTATAGTCCAAAAATCAACATCATCCAACTATGGAATAATTTACACTTTGATCAATCACCAATTGCTGAATGTTGCGGAACTCTTTTACAATACTCCACCTAATCAGAAAACCAACTTTCAAGGTACCAAACGTGGAAGCGACATCAACAAATGATTGAATGCTTTCTTATATAAATGTTTTGTTCATTGATATTACAAACTAAGAGTTTGCCATTTATTTTTAATTTCTTGGTGATGAAAAGTTTCCTTAACTCAGATGTGTTCATTTACTAAACTGCGAGTTAGTATTGCCAAATGGGTGGCATCTATCTACTTTAATTTGTGATAGTTACTATTGTCCAATATCCGAACATGTGGCCTACAAATTCAAAACAAACTTTGATATCGAGGAATCATTTTCATATGTTTTACATAATTTTAGAAATTCACAATAATAATAAAAATTATCTATTTATGAAGTTCTTTTTATGAATGCGGAAATTTTAAAAAATCTGTACTACAAATTTTCTTGATAAAGGAAATATTGAAGTTAAATCAATCAATACACAAGTTTCTGTGAAGCAATTTCTCCAACAGGAATATATCTTACAGAAGCTGGCACAATCAGATGCACGTAACATAGCTCATCAATTAAAAAAAAAAAAAAAACGGTATTGGCGGCTTCCAGGCACTTTCGTTGCCTTCTAGCCCTAAAATTTTTGGAAAGCAGTTGCTGTTGGACTTGTTCTGTAGGAGCGACTCAAAATTAGTAGAACTATGTCGTCGGACAAGTAAGGGTCTATCGTCGCTTCCTCAAATGTTTACTGGGGCTTTCAAAGAAATTATAACTTTGAGAGACTCTTTTAGAAACCTTTAGTACCGTTTTTACATAACCATCATGCTTTTACTTTACATCCGCAATAAAAGTGGCTTTGGAAAACCGTCTATGGAGATGGTTAGAGCGACAAAGTCTTTACAAAGAAGCTCCTCAACAAAGTCTTTACAAAGAAGTCTCCAAACAAAGTCTTTACAAAAGAAGTCTCAACAAAGTCTTTTTTTTCTACAAAGAAGTCTCAACAAAGTCTTTAACAAAGCAAGTCGTCAACAAAGTCTTTTTACAAAGACAGTCTCAACAAAGTCTTTTACAAAGAAGTCTCAACAAGTCTTTTTACAAACGAAAGTGCTCAACAAAGTTCTTTACCAAGAAGTCTCAGACAAAGGTCTTCAAAGAATGCTCTCAACAAAAGTCTTTACAACAGAAGCTCTCAAACAAAGTCTTTACAAAGAAGTTCTCAACAACAGTCTTTTTACAAAGAACGTCTCAACAAAGTGCCTTTACAAAGAAAGTCCCTCAACAAAGTCTTTACAAAGAAGTCTCAACAAAGTCTTTACAAAGATGTCTCAACAAAGTCTTTTTACAAAGAAAGTCTCATACAAAGTCTTTTACAATGAAGTCTCACAAAGTCTTTACAAGAAGTCTCAACAAAGTCTATTACAAAGAATGTCTCAAACAAAGTCTTTAACAAAGAATCTCAACAAATCTTTACAAGAAGTCTCAAACAAATCTTTACATAAGAAGTCATCAACAAAGGTCTTTACAAAAGAAGTCTCAACAACAGGTCTTTTACGAATGAAGAACTTATACAAAGTCATCTTACAAAGAAGTCCTAAAATTTAGAGGTGCTCAACAAAGTCCTGTTACAAAGATAAGTCTCAACAAAGTCTTTACAAAGAGGAAGTCTCAACAAAGTCCTTTACAAAGAAGTTCAGACCAAAGTCTTTTACAACAGAGAGTCTCAAACAATCAGTCTTACAAAAAGGTTCTTCACAAAGTCTTACAAGAAGCTCTCAACAAAGTCTTTTACAAAAGAAGTCTCAACAAGTCTTTACAAGAAGTCTTCAACAAAGTCTTTACAAAGAAGTCTTCAACAAAGTCTTTCACCAAAAGAATTCTCAACAAAGTCCTTTACAAGAAGTCTCAACAAAGTCTTTACAAAGAAGTTCTCAACAAAGTCTTTTACAAAGAAGTCTCAACAAATTCTTTACAAAAGAAGTCTTCAACAATAGTCCTTTACAAAGAAGTCTCAACAAAGAGTCTTTACAAAGAAGTCTCAACCAAAGGTCTTTACAAAGAAGTCTCAACCAAAGTCTTTACAAGTCTCAACAAAGTCTTTACAAAGAAGTCTCAACAAAGTCTTTACAAAGAAGTCTCAACAAAGTCTTTACAAAGAAGTCTCAACAAAGTCTTTACAAAGAAGTCTCAACAAAGTCTTTACAAAGAAGTCTCAACAAAGTCTTTACAAAGAAGTCTCAACAAAGTCTTTACAAAGAAGTCTCAACAAAGTCTTTACAAAGAAGTCTCAACAAAGTCTTTACAAAGAAGTCTCAACAAAGTCTTTACAAAGAAGTCTCAACAAAGTCTTTACAAAGAAGTCTCAACAAAGTCTTTACAAAGAAGTCTCAACAAAGTCTTTACAAAGAAATCTTTACAAAGTCTTTACAAAACATTGACGAAGAAAGTCTTTACAAAACATTTACAAAACATTGACAAGAAAGTTCATGACAAAGTCTTTACAAAACATTGACAAGAAAGTTCATGACAAAGTCTCAACAAAACATTGACGATGAAAGTCTTGACAAAATCTTTACAAAACATTGACAAGAAAGTCTTTACAAAGTCTTTACAAAACATTGACGATGAAAGTCTTGACAAAGTCTTTACAAAACATTGACGAAGAAAGTCTTTACAAAGTCTTTACAAAACATTGACGATGAAAGTCTTTACAAAGTCTTTACAAAACATTGACGAAGAAAGTCTTTACAAAGTCTTTACAAAACATTGACGATGAAAGTCTTTACAAAGTCTTTACAAAACATTGACGAAGAAAGTCTTTACAAAGTCTTTACAAAACATTGACAAGAAAGTTCATGACAAAACATTTACAAAACATTGACAAGAAAGTTCATGACAAAGTCTCAACAAAACATTGACAAGAAAGTTCATGACAAAGTCTCAACAAAACATTGACGATGAAAGTCTTGACAAAGTCTTTACAAAACATTGACAAGAAAGTCTTTACAAAGTCTTTACAAAACATTGACGATGAAAGTTCATGACAAAGTCTTTACAAAACATTGACGAAGAAAGTCTTTACAAAGTCTTTACAAAACATTGACGATGAAAGTCTTTACAAAGTCTTTACAAAACATTGACGAAGAAAGTCTTTACAAAGTCTTTACAAAACATTGACGATGAAAGTCTTTACAAAGTCTTTACAAAACATTGACGAAGAAAGTCTTTACAAAGTCTTTACAAAACATTGACAAGAAAGTTCATGACAAAACATTTACAAAACATTGACAAGAAAGTTCATGACAAAGTCTCAACAAAACATTGACAAGAAAGTTCATGACAAAACATTTACAAAACATTGACAAGAAAGTTCATGACAAAGTCTTTACAAAACATTGACAAGAAAGTTCATGACAAAGTCTCAACAAAACATTGACAAGAAAGTCTTTACAAAGTCTTTACAAAACATTGACAAGAAAGTTCATGACAAAGTCTCAACAAAACATTGACAAGAAAGTTCATGACAAAGTCTTTACAAAACATTGACAAGAAAGTTCATGACAAAACATTTACAAAACATTGACAAGAAAGTTCATGACAAAGTCTCAACAAAACATTGACAAGAAAGTCTTTACAAAGTCTTTACAAAACATTGACGATGAAAGTCTTGACAAAGTCTTTACAAAACATTGACGAAGAAAGTTCATGACAAAGTCTTTACAAAACATTGACGATGAAAGTCTTTACAAAGTCTTTACAAAACATTGACGATGAAAGTCTTTACAAAGTCTTTACAAAACATTGACAAGAAAGTTCATGACAAAGTCTCAACAAAACATTGACAAGAAAGTTCATGACAAAACATTTACAAAACATTGACAAGAAAGTTCATGACAAAGTCTTTACAAAACATTGACAAGAAAGTTCATGACAAAGTCTTTACAAAACATAGACAAGAAAGTTCATGACAAAGTCTTTACAAAACATTGACAAGAAAGTTCATGACAAAGTCTTTACAAAGAAGTCTCAACAAAGTCTTTACGATGAAGTCTCAACAAAGTCTTTACAAAACATTGACAAGAAAGTTCATGACAAAACATTGACAAGAAAGTTCATGACAAAGTCTTTACAAAACATTGACAAAACATTGACAAGAAAGTTCATGACAAAACATTGACAAGAAAGTTCATGACAAAGTCTTTACAAAACATTGACAAAACATTGACAAGAAAGTTCATGACAAAGTCTTTACAAAGAAGTCTCAACAAAGTCTTTACGATGAAGTCTCAACAAAGTCTTTACAAAACATTGACAAGAAAGTTCATGACAAAGTCTTTACAAAACATAGACAAGAAAGTTCATGACAAAGTCTTTACAAAACATAGACAAGAAAGTTCATGACAAAGTCTTTACAAAACATTGACAAGAAAGTTCATGACAAAGTCTTTACAAAGAAGTCTCAACAAAGTCTTTACGATGAAGTCTCAACAAAGTCTTTACAAAACATTGACAAGAAAGTTCATGACAAAGTCTTTACGATGAAGAACTTAACAAAACATTGACAAGAAAGTTCATGACAAAGTCTTTACAAAACATTGACAAGAAAGTTCATGACAAAGTCTTTACGATGAAGAAGAACTTGACAAAACATTGACAAGAAAGTTCATGAGAAATTAGATGAAGAAGTCTCAACAAAACATTTACAAGAAAGTTCATGACAAAGTCTTTACAAAACATTGACGAAGAAAGTTCATGAGAAATTAGATGACAAAGTCTTTACAAAACATTTACGAAGAAAGTTCATGAGAAATTAGATGACAAAGTCTTTACAAAACATTTACGAAGAAAGTTCATGAGAAATTAGATGACAAAGTCTTTACAAAAACATTGACGAAGAAAGTTCATGAGAAATTAGATGACAAAGTCTTTACAAAACTTTACGAAGAAAGTTCATGAGAAATTAGATGACAAAGTCTTTACAAAACATTGACGAAGAAAGTTCATGAGAAATTAGATGAAGAACTTAACAAAACATTTACAAGAAAGTTCATGACAAAGTCTTTACAAAACATTTACGAAGAAAGTTCATGAGAAATTAGATGACAAAGTCTTACAAACATTTACGAAGAAGTTCATGAGAAATTAGATGACAAAGTCTTTACAAAACATTGACGAGAAGTTCATGAGAAATTAGATGAAGAACTTAACAAAACATTTACAAGAAAGTTCATGACAAAGTCTTTACAAAACATTTACGAAGAAAGTTCATGAGAAATTAGATGACAAAGTCTTTACAAAACATTGACAAGAAAGTTCATGACAAAGTCTTTACAAAACATTGACAAGAAAGTTCATGACAAAGTCTTTACAAAACATTTACAAGAAAGTTCATGACAAAGTCTCAACAAAACATTGACGATGAAAGTCTTTACAAAACATTGACGAAGAAGTCTCAACAAAACATTGACGAAGAAGTCTCAACAAAACATTTACAAAACATTGACCAAGAAGTCTTTACAAAACATTTACAAGAAAGTTCATGAGAAAGTCTTTACAAAACATTTACAAGAAAGTTCATGACAAAACATTTACAAAGTCTTTACAAGAAAGTTCATGACAAAGTCTTTACAAAACATTTACAAGAAAGTTCATGACAAAGTCTCAACAAAACATTGACGATGAAAGTCTTGACAAAACATTGACAAGAAAGTTCATGACAAAGTCTTTACAAAACATTTACAAGAAAGTTCATGACAAAGTCTCAACAAAACATTGACGATGAAAGTCTTTACAAAACATTGACGAAGAAGTCTCAACAAAACATTGACGAAGAAGTCTTTACAAAGTCTTGACGATGAAGAACTTGACAAAACATTTACAAGAAAGTTCATGACAAAGTCTCAACAAAACATTGACGATGAAAGTCTTTACAAAACATTGACGAAGAAGTCTCAACAAAACATTGACGAAGAAGTCTCAACAAAACATTTACAAAACATTGACCAAGAAGTCTTTACAAAGTCTTTACAAGAAAGTTCATGACAAAGTCTTTACAAAACATTTACAAGAAAGTTCATGAGAAAGTCTCAACAAAACATTGACAAGAAAGTTCATGACAAAGTCTTTACAAAACATTGACGAAGAAGTCTCAACAAAACATTTACAAAACATTGACCAAGAAGTCTTTACAAAGTCTTGACGATGAAGAACTTGACAAAACATTTACAAGAAAGTTCATGAGAAATTAGACGAAGAAGTCTTTACAAAGTCTTGACGAAGAAGTCTCAACAAAACATTTACAAGAAAGTTCATGAGAAATTAGATGAAGAAGTCTTTACAAAGTCTTGACGAAGAAGTCTCAACAAAACATTTACAAGAAAGTTCATGAGAAATTAGATGAAGAAGTCTTTACAAAGTCTTGACGATGAAGAACTTGACAAAACATTTACAAGAAAGTTCATGAGAAATTAGACGAAGAAGTCTTTACAAAGTCTTGACGATGAAGAACTTGACAAAACATTTACAAGAAAGTTCATGAGAAATTAGATGAAGACGAAAGTCTTGAAAAAACTCTAAATGACTTTCAAACTCAAATAAACAAATACTACTGGGAATTTCAAGAAAAATACCACTCTTTACTAAATGGAACATGCTATCTGAAGCTAGAATACGACAAGATGAACTCCACCGTTTCATTTCAAAAGATTGAAATTAACCCTCCAAGAGATACAGAGTTTTTATATTGGGGAGTAGACAGACGTTCTTGGGCGCAATTTCTTCGGTTACTAAACCAGAACGAACCATTACCACCAGATGGTCCATTTAAATTTATACTTCCACCAGCAGATTTGACAGTTTATAGAAACGTATTTGACCCTCAAAATGTCATGTGTCATGCAAGTTTCAGTTCAAGCAACAACAGTTTTCTTTGTATTGGTAAGGACTTTTATGACTTTGCTTCTAAATTCTACGAACCACCTAGTAACAGTTTCTCTGACTTTCAAGTTTGGTTCACAACAAACGGTGTGCAGCATATAATTCCATTGTACTATGACTTTTATCTCGAATTGTCTTTCATATACAACTACGGAAAAGTGCTGAAAAAGTACTGAAAAATATATTTTAGGTGAAGAGGTGAGATCTCACCTGTTTTCTCACCTCTTTTCTCACCCTCTTGAATTTTCATGAATTTCCTTAAGATAGAAAAAAAGTGAGTTAAAATGAGATGTTTACTGAACTGGTTGGATGCCGCCTTCTGAGGTTATGTAGAACGGCTGACCCGAGAAGTGGAATAGTGCTCTGAGAATTTGTATAATTCGTGGAATTGGACTCTCTCTGTTTGGAAGTTGTATCCATGGGCGCTTTGCAAAGAACTTGAGAAGAGCTTCTTTCTTCATCTCCTTTATGTCGTCTACAGGAGTGTTTTCTGGTATTTGAA